CTCGACATGTTGGTATTATTATCAATGAGTTTCTTTATGTTTGTTACTAATTAATTTATATATTTCGGTGTTTCAGGTTGGGGGCATAAATATTTACAATTGTTAGATCTTTTTTTTTTAAACATTTATAAATTTTTGAGAGTGAGAGAGATAGAGCATGAGCAGGGGAGGGGCAGAGAGAGAGGGAGACACAGAATCGGAAGCAGGCTCCAGGCTCTGAGCTGTCTGCACAAGAGCCTGACGTGGGGCTTGAACTCACAGAGTGAGAGATCATGACCTGAGCCGAAGTCAGGTGCTCAACCGACTGAGCCACCCAGGCTCCCCAATTGTTAGATCTTCTTGATGGATAGACCCCTTAATTATTATATAATGTCCTTCTTCATCTCTTATTACAGTATTTGTTTTAAAATCTAGTTTATCTGATATAAGTATGGCTACCCTAGCTTTCTTTTGATGTCCATGAGCATGATAGATGGTTCTTCAACCCCTCACTTTCAATCTGCAGGTGGCTTTAGGTCTAAAATGAGTCTCTTGTAGGCAGCATGTTGATAGATCTTGGTTTTTTATATGTTCTGATACCTTATGTCTTTTGATTGGAGTATTTAATCCATTTACATTGAGAGTGATTATTAAAAGATATGAATTTAGTGCCATTGTGTTACCTGTAGATTTGGTGTTTCTGGTGATGTTCTCTGATCCTTTGTAATCATTGTTGCTTTGGTTGTCTTCCCTTCCACTCAGAGAATCCCCACTAAACTTTCTTGCAGTGCTGGTTTAGTGGTCACAAACTCCTTTAGTTTCTGTTTGTCTGGGAAACTCTTTGTCTCTTCTTTTATTCTGTATGAACAGCCTTGTTGCATAAAGAATTCTTGGCTACACATTTTTCCCATTCAGCACATTGAATATTTCTTGCCACTCCTTTCTGGCCTTCCAAATTTCAGTGGACAGATCTGCTAATCTTATGTGTCTCCCCTTGTAGGTTAAGGACATTTTGTCCCCCGTTGCTTTCAAAATTCTCTCTTTATCTTTGTATTTTGCAAGTTTCACTATGATATGTCATGGTGTTAACCTGTTTTTGTTGATTTTGAGGGGAGTTCTTTGTGTCTCTTGGACTTGAATGCCTATTTCCACCCACAGATTTGGGAAGTTCTCAGCTATAATTTGTTCAAATAAACCTTCTTCCCCTTTTTCCCACTCTCCTTTTTCTGGAACTCCTATGATACAGATTTGTTTCATTTCATAGAATCACTAAGTTCTCTAGGTTTCCCCTCATGATGTAATAATTTTTTTCACTCTTTTTTCAGCTTCATGATTTTCTATAATTTTATCTTCTATATCACCTATTCTCTCCTCTGCTTCTTCAATCCTCGTTGTCACTGTATTGCATCTCAGTTATAACGTTTTTAAATTCAGCCTGACTAGTTTTCAGTTCCTTGATCTCTACAGCAAAGGTTTCTCTGGTGTCTTCTATGCTTTTTTCAAGCCAAGGTAGTAGTCTTATGACTGTTCTAAATTCTTGTTCAGATATATTGCTTATATCTGTATTGAGCAAGTCCCTAGCTGTGATATCTTCTTGACCTTTCTTTTGGGGAGAACTCCTCTGCCTTGTCATTTTGGCTGTTTCTGTCTTCTGCGCATTTTAAAAGTTGGTTAGGCTTTCTGTACCTGAGAGGACTGCTATATTAAAAAAGGGCCCTATACACTGTCCAGGGGCTGGCACTTCAGGAAGTTTTTCTAGTGCATGTAGTGTGCAGTCTGCTGTTGCATCTTGGCTGCTCTTTGCCACTGGTCAGTCCTCTGCAGAGCTCCTCCTTGCTTGCAGTGGGGAGTGTTTGAACCTTTAACTAGGTGTGCTTTGATTTATTTGTTGAAGTAAGCCTGCCACACTGTCTCCCTCCAAATGTGGCGATCTTTCTGCCACCTGTGGTTGGTTTCCTGGGTGTTCAAAGTGATCTGACCTCAATACAGCTGTTTTTGAGAAACAAGGAAAACCCAGGGTCCCCCTACTTCTCCATCTTAACTCATCCCCAGTGATGGAAATGTTCTATACCATGACTGTTTGAGTGACAACACCCTAGCTGTGGCATTTTACTATAGCTTTGCAAGATGTTACCTTTGAAGGAATCTAGTTAAAATGATACACAGAATCTGTCTTATTTCTTACAATTATTTGTGTATCTACAATGATTTCAAAATATAAAGTTTAATTTAAAAAAGTATGTATCACAGCAAAGGGCTGAGAATATCAAGACTTTCTTGAAGAAAATAAAAAAACATAGGTGAAGATGTAGAAATACATGACCTGAGGACTATCTTTGGAAAACAGTTTGGCTTAAAATCAAAGACATATTTCTTTTTTTTTTTTAATGCTTATTTATTTATTTTGAGAGAGGGAGAGAGAGAGAGAAAGAGAGCATGAGCAAGGGAGGGGCAGAGACAGAGAAAGACAGAGAGAGACAGAGACAGAGACAGAGAAAATCCTGACATGAGACTTAATCTCACAAATTGTGAGATCATGACTTGAGCCAAAATCAAGAGTCAGATGCTTAACTGACTGAGTCACCCAGGCACCCTACATATTTGATTCTATACCTCAGTTCATCTACTTGATAAATATCTTGGAAAAACGTCTCCCAGGTGCATTAGGAAGCACATAAGGAACATTCATAGCAGCATTTGTAGTAGCAGAAAGAAACCTCTGTGTGTTTCCCAATGTTAATTTCCTTGTTTTACTAATGTATAATAGCAATGTGAGATGTTATCATTGTGAGTTAAATGTATGATGGTGATGTAAGATGTTATCACTGTGAATCTAAAGTTATTTTAAATTAAAAAACACCCTTTTATCTGGACACATTTTACTGAAAATGATTTAAAACTGTATTTAAAAACTGTAAAAAGCATACAGTGGAATACTAAACAGCAATGAAAACAGAAGAACCACAGCTATATGCAGCAACAGATATATCTTAGGAACATAATGTTAAGAAAAATGCAAGTCATGGGGAGACAATACAGTTTGATACCTTATATAAAGTTCAAAGGATGCAAACAAAAGTATTGTCGAAGGACATATCCAAATGTGATAAAACCAGAGTTCTGCAATTCTGCTTTGAGGAGGGAAGAAGGGAAAAGGGCACAGGGGAGGGAAACAACTAGAGATCTCAAAAGTACTGTAACTTTGAGGGCTTGGAGGTGCCAAGACAGGCCTGTGTTCCATCCACCCCCCGCTACTGCCCACCACCTTGTGTGCAGAGGACCAGGTGATCAGAGAAGGTATACGACTTGCCCAGGCTCACCTAAAAGATGCTACACTTCCTGTCACATCTCAGCTTCTTTGTCTTGCCACTGACAATGTCCCCAGTAAAGGCTGAGAGGGTGCAGGAAGACAGCACCAGGTGGCAACTTGACCATGATTCCTCTGGAACCTTGGTGGAGGGACCACTCAGAGGTAGGAAGGGCTGCGGCATGGGAGCGTCTTCCAGAGCCTACTTCAGCCCCATGCTGGATACAGTCTCCTGAGAGAATGAGAACCCCAGAGCGGAAGTACAGTGGGAGTTTGGAGGGTCCCCCTGAGCCTGATGCCGGGCACAGTGGAGTAGATATCCCAGAGTGCTGGCCTGCAATCCCTGAGGCTCCAAACCAAAGGTGACTGAGAAATAGAACAGCTGTTCTGATTTGCGTTCTAGACATTAGATCAAATGTTCTACAACTATTTAGTAGGCTCTCAGCTAGATCCTTGAGATCCTATAGTGGAGTTTCAACAGCTGCTTTCATGGAACTCACTTTCTAGTTTTTAAACAAGCAATGAGAGAGGGGCTTTAGGTCAACAAACCAGGGAGACACCCCAGTCAAGCCCTGTAAGTCAGAAAGTGGGTAGCAAATGTTCCTTGGTAATACCTGGGGATTAAGATTGCTTCTCATTCTTTCCTTCTCTCTGCACGCGCGCACACACACACACACACACACACACACACACACACACACAGCCTGTTCCCAAATTAATGTTCTTTGAACCGCTGTAAGGAAGGAGGTGGTAGGAGAGTAGTAGGCAGCTTTGTGAAACCTGCATTAACCAGAATGCCTTACCATATGGCTGTCCTGAGAATGCTTCTAACACTTGGGATCCCTTGTTCTCACCCACTCACAACCTGTCCTTTGTGCCTCAGTGGGCCAGTGACATACAGGGGGTAATGGAAGGCCACTCCCGGCCTCTGGGAGCGCATTGTCCAGATACAACTAATTGCCAGGGCAAGCAGTAGTCTTGTCAGCCTGGTGGCCCCAGGGTCAAGAACTCCAGAGCACTGTCTGGAGTCGGCCACACTGATATTCCGGACGTCATTGCTCCTTCTCACCCAGGGGACAACAGACTTAGGGTAAAATTCTCTGTAGGAGAGGTTGGCTTCAGAAAGGCACACCTTGGACTGGTCCTCTTCTCTTGCTGGCCAGGTCTGAGGTGACACCTATGACCCCACAGAGGCACCCAGAGGAGGGATCTGGACCTAGAGAGGGGAGGGCAGGCTAGAGGCCCCACGGGGTGACAGTGGAGCCAGTCTACCCGCACATGGTCCACCACACAACCTGGCTCTCCCCCAACCTCCTTTCCTTTCTGTCTTCTCATAAGGCCGTGCATCTGCGGCGTCGCGGGAGGTGGAAGAAGGGACTGGCATCTAGGTTTTAAAAGACCAGAAACAAACGTCCCCTGACAATTTCTCAGTTTCTCCTGTCATTTTTCTGGATTCAAAGGAGGGGCAGAGTTAAGAGTGGGGAAGACAGACGTAGTGGGGCAACGAGAGACGGCCCGATCCGGGGGTCCCCCGGAGGCCGGGCCAGGCGGTTCTCTCCCGCCGAGTGTGGGCTAGCGGTGGGCGGGCGGACGCCCCCAGCCCCGCAGCGCCGCGGGCCCCGCATGACATCAGAGGCTGGGGAGCGCGCAGAGCGCAGGCGCCGACCGAGGAGGGAGACGGGAGGGGGCCGCGGCGCGCGGCTCGAGAGAGCGCTCCTCCGCCCCGCGCGCCGTCCCTGCGCCCCGCTCCGCCCGCGCCTCTCTGTCCGCGCCGCGCCTCGGGCGTCCAGAGCGCGCCCCTCGCACCGCAGCGAGCGCCGCCCGCAGCAGCCCAGCCCCAGCCTCCTCCTCCTCCGCCGCCGCCGCCGCCGGACACGCAGCCGCAGGCCGGGGCCGGGACGCAGCTGGGGAGTCAGGGACGCGCGCAGCCAGCCCTTCCCCCTCCGGCTCCCGCACCGCCGGCCGCCTCCCCTCGCCCTCCTCCTCCTTCCCTGCTCCTTCGCTTCTCCTCCTCCTCCTGCACGGCCCGGCTGCCAGCACCATGTCCGCAGGGGGAGATTTTGGGAACCCACTGAGAAAATTCAAGTTGGTGTTCCTGGGGGAGCAGAGCGGTAAGTACCCCGCTTATTCTCTTGGCTTGGCGCCGCGCCGAGGCGACCCCTGCCGCCAAATCATCCGCCCCGTTAGGGCCCCGGCGCCGGCTCGGAAAGGCCCCTCCAAGCCCGGGCGGAGGGGAGGGATGGGGATGTGGGGGTCGAGGCTGGCTCGGGCGGGGCCAGGCAGGGGAGGGGCCCGGGGTAGGGATGGAGGGGGCGCTGGGCCCCAGGTGGGAGTGAGGGTGGGAGGTGGGGTGCGGGGCGAGAGCTGCGGGGCCGGTGCGGCGCGGCGGGGGGCCGGAGGGCGGCGGCTAGCTCGGCGGCGCCGGCCGGGGCGTGAAAGCGCCGGGCTCGCGGGCTCGCTCGCACTGCGGCACCGGCTGCGGGCGACCGCGCAGGTGGAGGGGTGCCCGCGGGGGCCGGGAGAGGATTGGCGCCCCTCTTCGGAGAACGAGGCAGTGCCGGCGTCTGGTCGGAGGGCTTCCTGCGGACCCTGCCGGACCCATGTTTAATGACGGGCACGTCCGGGCCCTGGAGCCCAGGGCCGCGGGGGAAGGCCAACACCTGTCTCCTGTGGAAGGAGCAGGCGCAGGCTGTAGGGGAACCGGGCGCCTACCTCCCCTGGCCTGCGTCCGACTGGGCACGGAAGGTTCTAGACGCTACCCTATGCCAGCGTGCGTTAGTGTCTCTCGGGCTCAGGGTCTGGGCGAGGACAGCTAGGGTTCCCTGGTGCGAGGCCGATTTGGGGGATGGTACAGGGCGCCGCGCACCAAGAGGCGGCGAAGCCTGGCGCTGGGCAGAGAAAGGACCAGGCGACACGCCCTGCCTGGCTTCCCAGCACCCCTCCTGAGAGCGTTGTCGGCGGAGGAGGCTTCCCACCCCCACCTCCCAGCTCACCGCCAGTCTTGGGGGAGGGGAGGTCACCGTGGCAGCCGGCCAGGGGCGGGGGGGTGGGGGGCGGGTTGGGGGAAGGAGACAAACGGCTTCCCTGCCGCCCAGCAGCCTCCCCAGGGAGAGCATCTCTGAAACCCGGGTTGGCCCCAGGGTGGGACGACCAGAGTGAAGAGTGTGGACCCCTCTGACACCTGTAGGAAGGAGTGGTTCTCAGTGCACCTCTCCAGAGGCCTCTCTCCTGGGGCTGCAGAGGCGCAGGCTGGGCCTTGCCCAGCTCACCTCAGGAAGAACGTGGTTGCTGGGGACAGCACCCCCAGCTCTTGTTTTGCAGACCAGTCCAGTTCACCTGGTTTGGTGCCTGTCTGTACAAGGAGCTGAGACACAGGCAACCTTAGGAGGACCTTGTGGGCTCAGGAAACAGTGCTACTGTGGTGTGTGTACATGTGGGTTGTGAAGGTCGCATGGCAGTCTCCTGTGTTGCTGCTCATTACCTGAGATGGATGGTTGAGAGAAGGATGTCAGACATGGTCAGACCCTAACACGGGGGTGCATCCTGGGGCCAAGCAGGGCATTTCAGAACAAGATCAACTGAGCCAGCCAGTCCTGTGCCCTGGACTCTGAGTTTCTGATTTTAATAGAGTCCAGTTTCAGAGCTCACTTTTCCCATGCTGGCAGGGATTTCAGGGGTCTTCACATCCCAGTGCTTATGTTACCCAGCCCGGAGCCCTGGGAGAGAACTCTGAAGGGATCAGGCATCCTGGGAGTTGAATTCCTACGTGCTTTGCCTTGAGCAGAGTTTGAGGCCTCTCTGAGCCTCAGTTTCTGCCTCTGTGAAATGGTTGCTTGAGGGCACTTCTCTTCCTCCTCCGTGTTTCCCCTGTGCCTCTCAAAGGGCCTGGACCCTGGTAGGTTCTCAAGAAACATTTGTTTATCCCAAGTCTGAACTTGCTTCAGTAAAGGACCAGGGCTTTGATAAGACTGTCTCTTGTGAGTTTGAGTGAAAACTCTGGACTCACTCAGAATCTCTTATGGGTTGAGGTCCCTGAGGAGCCTTGCAAACCCCCTTTGTTCCTAAATCACAGAAATGAGAGTTTAGGGCCTTAGAGATAGAGCCCCCACCTTGCATGTGTAGATTAGAACTCTGAGCCCAGGGGTGGGGAGGGCTTGGAGAGAGAGAGAGCCCCCATCCGTGTGTTGCTGGCACTTCTGGGGCTAGAAACCACATCTTCTGTTCCCAATCATTAATGTTGGGAATCAAGATGACCTTGAATTGGGGAAACAAAGAATTGGGGAGCCTTCCAGAGTTGAGGTGAGGATTGCCATTCTCTGACCAGACTTGTGGCTGGGTTAGGTGACCTAGGAGGAATGCTGGGCTATTTGGCTGGGGGCAGGGTTTGTGGGCCCTGGGAACACAGTCATTAAGACAAAAGACTGCCATCAGTGAGTTTGGCTATTGGCTACTCTAGTTCCTTCTGGCTGGGATCTCTAGGGCCCTGAGAAGCCCTGAGTATATCATTAGTGGGTTGTGTACCTTGTATTCTGCATGGCTTTTGGGACCCCCCAAGTTAGGTGGGGATCATATGCATCCCTGAGCCTGATGGGATGGGGGGGGGGGGATTGCCTTCATAGCCGTTGCTTCTGTCTTGCCTGCACACAGTTTTGTGTGTGTTGATCCTTTGTGTCACTGCAGTCTCTGCAGTGCAAGGAGCCCCTGAGGTCTGGCCCTCCTGCCACCCTGGCTCTCCCTCTCTATGTGACCTCGGAGGGCCCTCACCTTCTATACCTGGGACACTTGGGCCAGCTGAGCTTGACAGAGCCTTCTAGAGGAGCATGCATGGGTCTTCCTATATAAGCTGACTCCCTTGGATAGAGGCCAGGGGAAAGGGCTGGAGGGATGTGGCCTTCCCTTGTTTCCTGTGCCTGCTATAGTGGTGGCATCTCCCTAGACCAGTAGATGAGGACAGCTAGATTCCAAAAAGGAGTACCCAACCCGAAGCCCAGTAATGAGAAGAACACCCTGAAATAGATAATCCCAAGAGGGCATCAAGCCTTCAAAGATACCAGGGCCTGGTTTGAGTGGGAAGACCTTAAGGAACCACTCTAGAGAGAACACCTCTAGCCCAGGAGAGAGCCTTCCTGGCAGCAGAATGACGCTGTCCCCTGGACCATGGACTACAGGCTTGCTGTCTGTGTCAATCTGGCAGGGCGTGGGGTTGTGGAAAGTGTGCTGTGGATCTAGAATGAGTAGATTCTTTGCAGTAGGAAGGCTGTGCAATGCTGCTGGTGTTCAGATGGCTCTCTCTGGGCCTTTTGCCCATGGCCTTGTGCTGATGGCAGTGACAGGGGATGGTGTGGAGGGCGAGGCACACTAATCTCAACTGTGACTCTTGGTGACATCCAGCGAAGAGAGGCATGAGCAGGTGTCTTAGGAAAGAGAGGGGGCCTGGGGGACACATGCCTTCCTCCTAAGTTCAGACGGCATTCTGTGGGGGTTTAGGCTTCCTTCAGTGCATCTGGGTGTGTGGTGGGGACTAGGGATGTGGGATATCCCTGTTGGGTGTTCTAGCCTCTTCTGATCTCCCTTCCCTTTGACTCCTCCTGCCAAAGCAGGAAGATTGAGGGACACCACAAGTTGGGTCTGTGTTCCCAGGCTGAGGCCAGCAGGACAGCTTCTCTCTCTGACCTGCCTTCTCCTTGTCCCTGGCAGTTGTGCTCTGGAGGTGCCATCACAGTGAGCATGATGGGAATGGCATTCTCAGAGTATACAACACAGTGACTGTGCACACAGCTTTGGCCATTTAGTCATTTGTTCACTCATCCCTCTCCCCACCCCCACCCATCATTCTCTCCTTTCCTCCTTCCATCATCCATTTATTTATTTAGTCAGGCCTTTGAGTGTATCCCTGCCTCCCGGAACTTATGGTCCACTGGGGACTTCAGACATTTGTGGATATAATTACAGTAAAGGTCTGTGCAAGTGAAGACAAGAGAACAGCTGCTATGGAAGCACACAGCACGGCGTCCCACCCACCTTTGTCGGCAGGTGTCAGAGATGGCTTCTAAGGCTTCAGAGGAGGAGATGCTTCTGTAGGCAACTGGCTGGTGCTCCTTTGGTGGGCTGAGTACAGGGAGTAGGTCTTGCGAGGGGCCCACCCTCTCGAGGGAGCTTTGTCTGTTCTCCCTGCTGTGGAGAAGAAGTGTGTGGGGGTAGGGAGCAAGAGGATGAGGGTGTCTGGCTTGCCAGTGCTGAGGAGGGGCTATCCCCGACTGTCATCCCATTCCTCTGGGTTAAGGAGTCTTCAGTGCCCCTCCACTGCCTGGAGGGCTCCCCCTGCCCCTCCCAAGGCCTGGCTCAGCCTGACCCCTGCCCTCCCACCACACACCACCCATAACCACATAGGGCGCCCTTGGTTGGCCTGGGGATTGTATCTGAAGCCCATCCCGATGTCTCCTTCCCAACACCTCCCAGATCCCCTCCCTCTGCTGTGCCCAGCCCACCTGGGCGCTCACCATGGAGTAGCTTTGGTTTCTTTCTGAGCATTTTTAAAAAACTATCACATGTTGCCCCATGACCTGTCTGTTGTCTCAGTTATTCTGGATTTTTAAATGTTTATTAGCTTTTTAAGAAACAAAACCCCTAACTGAATTTTAAGCCCCTCAAATGTGAATTTAAGCACCTGAGAGGACTAGATCTTAGTTCCTTTCCCCTTCTCCCCATCTGCAGGAGACTTTTGCTCATTAAATATCTGGATTTAAAAATGATGAGATTATCCTCACTGTTTGATATTTACTGATGGTCCATCAGTAGATTAAAAGTGAGGGGAGTCAAGGCAGTTTGAAGCAGGATTCTTCATCCTGACACCTGCTGCTTTCTCAAGCTAGGAGATTTTTACCAGAAACACTTAACAATCTTTCACACTGGGTTGAAGCCTTTAGCCTTGGTTGTGCCCAACCCATAGTACATCTCACAGAAGGTGAAATTCTCAAGGGACTCTTATCCCCACCACCTTCTCTAAAGAAATAAGAGAAAGCAGTAAGGCCACCAGAGGTGGGAAGGAAGGGATATGCCCAAATGGGATGTTGCCAGAGTTCACTGCGAGATTGGACATAAATCCAGTTGC